CCACGCTTCGTGGGACCATACAAAATCTTGGAACGAAGGGGAGAAGTTGCTTATCAGCTAGAACTTCCATCCAATATGATCGGCATCCGTGACGTGTTCCACGTGTCCCAATTAAAGAAGTGTTTAAGGGTACCTGAAGAACAGGCTGATTCGGAACACATTGATATCCAGGAGGACCTAACATATGTGGAGAAGCCGGTTCGCATACTTGATACCAGCGAAAGGAGAACCAGAAACAAGGTTACCCGGTTTTGCCGAGTTCAGTGGAGTCATCATTCGGAAGAGGAAGCAACCTGGGAAAGGGAAGATGAGTTGAAAGCCGCCCATCCGCACCTCTTCACCAGCTCCTCCGAATCTCGGGGCCGAGATTCCGTTTAAGGGGGGTAGGTTTGTCACACCCCGAAGTTTTCCTCCCAAGCCAAAATTGTAATTTACAAATGACCCCAAGAAAATGCAGGTGAAATCAGGAGAAAACCCTAAGAAAGTAATGCAAATAATAATCGGACTTGACATGTGGATTTTTTCTTGAGTTCTACATGTCAAAATTCATTAACAGGATTTTTAGTGGAATTTTCAGAGCTCTAGAAATAATTTTAACCAATTAAAATTGAGCAAGCAATATTTTATTCCAGGGAAAATCCTTTTTCCTTTTTCTGTTTCTTTTTCCTCTCTTTTTCCTCCTTTTTGTCAAATGGGCCATCGGCCCATTTCTCCTTTCCTCCCCCCCTCCTCTCTGCTGGGCCGGCCGCAGGCCGAGGCCCAGCCCGGCAGCCAGGCCGCCCCGCTGCCTTCTCTCTCGGGGTCGCCGACATGTGGGGCCCACCTTTCGGGCCCGTCTCCCTCCTCCCGCCGATCCCGGCGCGCCGCCGCGCCCGCAACCGTTGCCGCGCCCACGTCTCCGCCTCCCCCGGGCCACGTCGACCACGCCCGCGCGTGCGCCGAATCTCCCGCGCCCATTCCCCTCTCTCTCCCGCTCGCGCCCGCGCCCGAGATGGCCGGGATTCGAAAATCGAATCCCGCCTCTCTCTCCTCCCCACTCCCCGCGTCGGCCGGCGATTCCCGCCGCTCCCGGCCACGTCCGGCCCCCTCTCCCCTTATTTAAGCATCGCCGGCACCCCCTCTCCCTTTTTCCCCATTTCGCCGACCCCTCCCGTGCTCCCCATCGTCCCCGCGCCGTGCACCCACCCACCGCCGCTTCTTCCCGCTACTCCGGTCGCCGCTAGCCGCCGCTAGGCTCGCCGCCGTCTTGCGCCGTCGCCGCCGTTAGCTTCGCGCGGCCGAGGTCCACCTCGTCCACCCCTCTTTCGTCGAGGTCCGTCGCCGGAGAGCCGTTCCCGTCGTGCGACGGTGAGGGTCGCCATGTCCGCCGCCTTCGGCCGGCATCCCCGCCTCCTATGGCCCCTCTCTTCCTCTCTAATCCCTTTCGTTTCGTTCTTTAGGTCGTCCCGGTCGCCGTCCGCCGCGTGTCGACTTCCCTCCGTCGCTCCTCGTCGCCGGACGCCGTCGTCCCCTTCGGTGAGGACTCCTTCCCCTTTCCGTTACTTCCTCGATTCTCCGTGCGTCGCCGCCGCCGCGCTTGCCGTCGCCTTTGGTCGTTGCCGCCGTCCACTGCCGCCGCTTTCGCGTCGCTTTTGCGCCGTCGCCTCCGCCGCCGGATGCCGTCGCCGGCAACGCGACGTGCGCGTGCCGCCGCCGTCAGCCCCGGGTCGGCCGGTCGGCTTTGATGCCGAGCCGAGCCCGGCGGCTGCCTCCACCGCCGCCGTCCGATCGGCCCGAGGGCGATCTGGGCCGTCGGTCCCGTGGACCGGCGGTGGACCACCCGCGTGGTCCCGGTCCACGGTGAACCGCTCACCCTTGAGTCGCTGACCAGTGGGCCCCGCTTGTCGGCGCCGCACTCCCCCCGTGCTGACGTCAGCCCTGGTTAATATTGCGCAATAAATTATTTAAGGATTTTTGTTATAGTAATAAACACAGTGAATCTTCTAAAATTCATAACTAATTCATCCGAGCTCCGTTTAATCCCAGTCAAGTCTCAGTAAATCAAGAAAAATGTGTAGAATCCATTAAAAATGGTTTTGTTCTCTGTTTCAGTAGTCTTATAGCCTGTTTGCAATGTTTGCTTTGTATGCCGCTAGATTCCGATCCCTCCGACGCTCCGGTGTACTTCGAGATAGTCGCCGAGGTTCCCCCAGCAGCAGAGCAAGGCAAGTCATGCTTGTCACTTGAACATGTTGATCCTATATTGCAAATGCTCTATTGTTTTCTTTCAAATATTGCATTGTTTTATAATATTACTATGGGATGGTTACCTATTGTTACAGCCATACTTTTTGGATACCATGCTCCTTTGTTAGCTTGGGTTATAACATGATTAGAGTTTGGACTAGGAATTGCTTAGCCTTGCTTAGTTCAACTAGATCACAATGGGGAAAATCATATTAATGTTTAGACTGTTAGTTCTAATGGTAATGTTGGATTAGTGACACCGCTTTGGTGTTGGTTAATTAAAATGAATCACATGGTGGGCTGTGGGTGCATGGTTTTGCTGGTCGCACCCATGGCAGTTAAGGACCGGTTCGCGGGATGCCCTGGAAGAATTTATCGTACTTACCACAAGCCAGCGTGGGCAACGGCTGGGCTTGTAGTGTAGCTTTCCTCTAGTCGACGCATCCAGGCAAGGGTGGGCGTGATGGAGCGGGGCGGGCCCTGCGACGGCCTCTGTCGCTTCCGGATTCACCTAGGCACGAGAGGGGACTGCCCGTTGCCCGCTGGGGACGGGGGTGAAACCTGAGGTGTGGTGTGCTTGGCTAGAGGGGGTTATGCGAAGGGTCCTGTCACGGCCTCTTTCCGGTATGTCGTGGTGGCATGCCGGCGCACGGAAACGTGTCGTGGGGCTGTGTCTTGTGGGTACAGTTGTACACCTCTGATCAGAGTAAAACTATTCGAATAGCCGTGCCCGCGGTTATGGGCGGTCAACCAGATTCACCGTGATTAGTCTCACCCTAGTGTAATCTCTTGAATTTGGATAGTTTAGGTGGATGGTTGGGCCTGTCGCAACGTGGGTTAGCGTTGGACAGTGGATGTTTAATACTAATTAATTATTACAACCGTTTTCGCATTCAATTCCTGTTTATAAATGCCAGTATTTATGCAAATGAACCACTCTAGCTCTTCTTTGTTAATTCCCTGCATCATACCCCTATTCCGGTATGACTTGCTGAGTACAGTGGGTAGTACTCAGTCTTGCTCTACTTTTCCCAACCCCAGAGTTCGAGTTCGGGTCAGATGAAGGTTTCTCTGAGGAGTAGGCTTCGTCCGTGCCGTCGAGGATGCCTGTGGAGTGGTGTTCCCGCTGCAGTTTAGTCAAGGCTTAGCTCCAGTTTCTTTTGTTTTCCGCTGCATTTTTGTAAGACTTTTATGATGTTTGTAAGACGTGGATCTGAATGTCAACATTGTCGTTTGTGTACCCCGGCTGGTCCTGGACGGGGATTTTAATGCACATTCTGCTTGGAATTCTATTCGGGAATTTCTGGGCGTGACAACCCCTCCCTTAGAATAACTATTCTACACTCCCCTCCACTCAACTCCCCCAGTCCGGCCCAGCCCAGCCCACGCACGCGCCTCCCTCTTCAGCCCCCACGCGCGCGCCCTTCCTCCCTCCCTCCCGGCACGCCGATTTCTCTTCCTCTTTTTTTTTCTTCTTTTCCTCCGCGCGCCGATCTCTCTCGATCTCTCCCTCCCCTCCTCCCGATCTCTCCCTCCCTTCTCCTTTTCTTTCTCTTCTCCCTCCCCTCCTCCTGATCTGCTTTTTTCTCCTTTTTTTCTCTTCTCCCTCCCCTCCTTTTCTTTCTCTTCTCCCTCCCCTCCTCCCGATCTGCTTTTTTTACTCCTCTCCATATTTTCTCTCTGTTCTCCCTCCCCTCCTCCCGATCTGCTTTTTTTACTCCTCTCCATCGATCTATTCTTTTCTCTTTTTAGAAAAAAGAAAATAAATTGGTAAATGCAAGACTATTTTTTCTCTCTTCTCCCTCCCCTCCTCCCGATCTGCTTTTTTTACTCATCTCCATCGATCTATTCTTTTCTCTTTTTAGAAAAAAAGAAAATAAATTGGTAAATTAAAGACTAGAACACATGATCTCACGGTTCATAACAAACTCTCCTAACCAATTCACCCTATAACACTATGTGATTTGGGATTGTTGTTTGCTTTCTTTATATATCTGTTCAGATTTTGTGAACACAAACCAGTTATGTTTACTGTAGAAATCATACCTTGTTACTGTGATTCGGTAGTAACATTATCGCGGAAGTGCAGTAACACGATATGTTACTGCGAAATTTATAGGTCGTTACTGTGAAATTTATAGGTTGTTACTGCGCTTTTTCAGTAACATTATGATAAAATTGCAGTAACAGAGAGCATATGATAGTAACGGTACTACTACAGTACCACCACTTGTGCATAGCAAAAGTTTTAAATCTCAATCTTGTGCAAAATACAAGTGCTAAAAAAGTGCATGTGCATGGTCACAAGTTAACACAAGTGCTAAAGTACTTCTAGTCTTTTATATATATATATATATATATATATATATATATATATATCATGTGTTCATGTGTTCAGTAGATCATGTGTTCTAGTCTTGAATTTACCAATTTATTTTCTTTTTTCTAAAAAGAGAAAAGAATAGATCGATGGGGAGGAGTAAAAAAAGCAGATCAGGAGGAGGGGAGGGAGAAGAGAAAAAAAATAGATCGAGAGGAGGGGAGGGAGAAGAGAAAGAAAAGGAGAAGGGAGGGAGAGATCGGGAGGAGGGGAGGGAGAGATCGAGAGAGATCGGCGCGCGGAGGAAGAGAAGAAAAAAAAGAGGGAGAGAAATCGGCGCGCCGGGAGGGAGCCGCTGGGAGGGAGCGAAGGGAGGGAGGCTGAAGAGGGAGGCGCGCGCTTGGGGGCTGAAGAGGGAGGTGCGCGCGTGGGCTGGGCTGGGCCGGACTGGAGGTGTAGAATAGTTATTCTAAGGGAGGGGTGTACAATAGAGCTACTCTATATATATATATATACACACACACAACCCAATAACTAACTAACAAGCTCCTGATGGTCCAATGCCAATCAGCTGCCTTTTCAAGTCATACACAACCTCCTTGGAAGTCTGCATCAGGCTTCCTATAATGGAGACAGATTCAGTCGGCGCAAACGCCAGGCACCACACGTCCTGCTCCTGCACCGATCTCTCGACGAACACGCCATGGCTGCCGAGATCGAACCGAGCTCCATCATCGAAGTGCAGGGATATGGCTGGCATGTCCCCCTCATCAACACTCCTCATGTCGTAGCAGTTGCGCTCGCTCTCCTCCTCCGCCGCCCCGCGTTTCAGCAGCAGCTCGCGAATCCGCTGGCTCAGCACGGACAACGCACGGTCTGGGATGTAGGACAGCTCTGAACCTGAGTCGAACACGACGCCCTTTCGACTGAAGACGCTCGGCGACAAGCCGAGCCTCTCTCCATCGACAGAGATCGCGGTGAGATCAACGAAGAACAATTCTGTGTTTTTCTTGCGTGCGACCATCTTCGTGTACCTGACATCTGTTCTTGTTGCGACTTTGCCCAAGCTGAAATAGCCTGTGGTCTTGCTGAAGAATCCCCTCTCGCTCTTCTGCAGCGGCAGGCAGTAGGAGAAGCAGTCGAATGTCGGTGAGCTTTGCTTCAGCACGGACATTGGGCCAGCACCCATCCCGAGTAACCCATCCACATTGCCGAATTCGTTGGCGCCGAAGCTGTCCATGTTGCAGCCGAACGAGAAGCCGGGGATCTTCTGAACATCAGAGAATGTCAGGGTGTCCTGGTACAGAATGCCATAGGAGGCCGATCCATCTTGATATGAAACACGGAATGGGCAGTCAGGATAGTTCTCTGAATCTTGGCAGTGGGGATCACTGCCTCCAAGCAAGCACATGGAAGTGCCACAGGACACCTTGGCACATGTGGTAGACCTTGACTGCAGAAATGTTCGGGGGTTGGTGTGGCAGCCGTCGCACTCGCAGAAGACCCAGGATGTGGAGCTCCCGGTGTCTATCTCTACGATCTGTGTCTTGGCTGGTGTGCCAAGCCCAACTGATATGACATATAGGGATGTTTGTAGCCCTCGATCCCATCCGACCTGTACAGCTTTAGTTGATAGCCTTGATGTTTTGTTGGTGATATATCGGAAAAGGGGTATCCTTTTCCCAGAGAACAGCTCTGCAAGACAGAAAAAGGAGAGGGAAATTAATTGAGAGGAAGAAATTTTACGTTAAGGGCTCCTTTGAAATGCAAGATCGAGAAAACGTAGGAATAGGATAGGAATACATATGCAAAACAGAGAATTGAAAAACGTAGGAATGTTGTAGGAACGTGTGTTTGATTGGATCGTAGAAAAAACACATGAATGGATTTGGATTATTAAATTAAACTAGTTGGCACCCCGCGTCTTGCCGAGAGTTTTGTAGTTTTATCGTCAAACAAAATCGTACTTTTAATGGTTATGTGCAACTCTATATATATACAAAATATATGATAATGTGGCTTTATATATATATCTTATGTTACTACAATACAATTCATGCTTTATTTTTCCAAACGTCATTGTGTATTGTTATAATATATGAATATTATTTTCATGCGCAATATGGGTATCGTTGTAGTTAGACAATTTGTATCTCTATGCTTCATTCAAGCTTTTTCTGAAAATTGATTCAGGTAACGATTCCTAATAATTAAATGCTAACTAATCATGCATAATAAAACAAAACACACATGTTAAACAATAATTTGAGTTGTATTCGAAAAAAGATGGTGTTATGCACAAAATATATAATAGTGCTGTGTGTGACTATGAGGTAGAGCAAAGAGAGGTGATTGGATAACTAATAAATGATTGAATTGGATGAATAAGTAGTTTCTTGATCCTATGGTTGTTATGTTTGTACTAATGTGATTTGATGGTTTAAAATTGTTGATGATATGGCTTCTTGCATGTCTTGCTTTATAGGAGTAAATACCCCTTAGTGGGTACCAACTATATAGGAAGATACGATTGGGTGGGTTATCTACTTATGCACATCTAACCTACACTAATTGAATAGACAAGTAATCATGAGCTATTAGATTTGCCTCGATCCTATGCGAGATAGAATAAACATGAGCTTAGAGTGGATGTTAAATTTCCTACGTTCTTCCTCTAGAATCATAGGAATGAAAAAGTTTCCTACGTTTTTGTTTCCTCATTTCTACAAATCAAGGCATGAATAATGTAGGATCTCATTTCCTTTGATTTTCCTTCATTTTTCCTCCAATTCAAATTAAGGAGCCCTAATTGGTCAACCATGTCATTTTTTTTTCAAGGACTTAATTTTTTTACAGTGGAGTACTAACCAACAAGCCAACAATATATAGGTGATGGTGACTAGTTAGCTAGCAACTAGTACAAATTAATAGCGTGTTGTTTTGATGCATAATTAGTTTCATTACTGTTTCATTTATGAGTGCAGAACTAGACTAACTAGAATTCACACACACAACTAGACTAATTCAAACGACAAAATAAACTTTAATATTTGGCCCTTAAACATTTACAAATTCTATACACATGGTAATTATGTTTATGTTGGTTTTATTTCAATATTGAATGCATTCACAAAGAAAATAAGCAAGAATATGAAATAGAATTACATTTAACTCCAGGAAATCTCTTAGATTTATGCTATCAAGCCAAGTAACTAATTATTTAATTTCATATTATCTTTAACATATTTTCTTGCACGCAATTTATAACATGATGGCTATAGTCGCACGAATGAGCGACTTAATACACTAGTATGTACGATTGATAAATACCCATGAACATTATTTTCAACAAAAACTACCCATGAACATCCTCAAACTTCAAAGTATTAAAATCTTATTAAATAAGATACACACGCATATGTGCTATTCATAGTTACCAGCTAGTGAAGACGATGCGTTGTCATGTTTGTCGAACGATGACACAAGTTGCTTCTCGCAATGCACGTTGACGCTTCTGTCGACTACACACGCTATGAGGAACAGTAGGAAAATAATCCTCCTAGCCATGGTGCTTAATTACAGCTTCGACTAGTTTTACCACCACCGGTATATATATGCGGGTTAATTAATTAACAGTTAGTTTATGCATGGATATCCTGACACGATTAATTAGTTTTTGTGCCTTGGGCATTTGCTTCGTTCGTCACAATCTTTTGGTTTTTGTGTTACTATATTTCGCTTCACGCAAAGGATGTGGTAAATTGAGTTGGTCGATCGGTTGGTTGGTACAACAGGAAGGCAGGACCAAAAGATCACACACAGTGCTCCTACTTAATTTAACAGTTACATAACAATGCATGTAAATTTAGTGTAAGATATCTACCACGTTAATATTACCATTATGTAGTATCAGTATTGTTTTATGTATGGGTTTTCATAGAATTTTGTGACGACTCGCAACTGAAGATGGAACCATACCATTATAAATTTGCAAAATTTGAGATATGTCATCCTGACCCACATGTCATTGACTCATGTGGGTCCTACATGTCATTGAGATACCGATGACATATCTTAAACTTTACAAAATTATAATAGCATGGTTCCAATTTACCCTTAGTTAATCCACATCACTTAGAAACTGGAGTATCTACTTATAATAGTTGAGACAACAAGACCTGTTAACTATTAATGGACCAAAATATTTTTTTCATTGTCCTTATTTTCTTTTCATTCACCCCATGCAGTATAATTTATGTTAATAAATGCTAAGAATCAACTCTAAGCCGATTTATGTTAATTTATGTTAATTTCATTGTCCTTATTTTCTTTTCATTCACCCCTATCTCTACTTAGTTATAAATGTGATTTTTGACATCTATAACTAGTTTCTGATCGCAACCAACATGTTTCCATGCATATATGTTTTTTCTTGATATTTCCGATACCGTTTTAATTTCTCGCTTTATCGTTTTCGATTATGATTTCGAGGAAAATATAATTACAAAAAATGGTTGAAGCTATTTTCAAATCATTTTCATCCCTAATCGTAGATGCCATTTAGAGCGGATTTTAGTCTAAAACCCACTCCCAATGGAAGATTGGAAGTCCCATGTTAATTAGACACGCCTCTATTCCCTTTAGTTATCTCAGACTCTTAGCTTGGATGCAATTTCTTCCCTTTTATTTCAGTTTGAACGTATTGTGAAGGACTACTCACTGTTTATGCATCACCTATAGTTAGGGGTGGACAAAAAGCTCGAAACTTGTGGCTCGGATCAGCTCGTATCAAGCTCGGCTCGGATCGATTTGTACAAGGACTCTTAATGAGTCGAGTCGAGCTAGTCTTTTTGCTCGTGAGCTTAACGAGCTAGCTCGCGAGCTACTCGTTTAGCTCGTTAGTATAAAATATCACCATATCTTCATGAACTTATTGTTTCTTGACTAGTGCTTAGTCTTTTAATTACATCAAAACTATTCATATTTAGTGAGTATTATATTAGTTAGTATTTATTATTATGTTAATACATAATAAAATGTTAAATTTGAAATTGTTAATATGACATTAATGAGATATAGCTCGTTAACGAGCTTAACGAGCCAGCTCGCGAGCCGAGCCGAGCTAGCCATTTAGCTCGTTAACATTAACGAGCCGAACCGAGCTGGCTCGTTAAGACAACGAGCTCAAACGAGCCGAGCTAGCTTGTTATCCACCCCTACCTATAGTCACACATGCTGTGCCGTAGGGGTTTCCATCCACGAGAGAGAATCCATTATATGTCACTGAGTTTGTCACAAGTCTATAATTTACCATTGACTTTGTCACGTTCTATAATATTCCATATACTTTTGCTTAACTTCTACAATTTACCATCGTCGTCCGGTTAGCCTCCGTTAATATTGTACAATTTTGTCCAAATGACCAAAAAAAACCTTTGAGACAAAAACTTCTAAAATTTGGACAAAAATTCTGAAGTATCATATTATAAATATAAGATTGTAAACATAAAAAATTTGGCCAAAAATCTGTCCAATTGGTGTCAACCTCTAATCAGCAATCCCACCTGGGATGGTTGACTCTATGGGAAGGAAGTGTTCAAATAAAATGAAGGTACATTTCTAGAGATTGATCCAGAATGGATTGGCTCTGAGTTCGGAGTCACAGAGAAGGAGCACTAAACAAGGGGTTCGATGTATCTTTTGTGGCAGAATGGAGGATGCTTATAATCTCTTTTTCGCAATGGGTGTGGAAAGTTTTACATGACAAAATATAGGCGGAGTTTCCTTACCCTGGAAGGGAGTACCACAATGCAAAAAATTTGGCGGCTTGGTTACTGGACCAGCTAGCTGATCAATCAGATCAGGTAACTTCAAGCTTTGTGGTGGCGCTCTATAATCTGTGGTCGGTTTGAAATGTTGCTCGTTTTGCTACCTACCCTGAGCATCCAGATATGGTGATGGCAAGCAAAATCATGTTCCAATTGGATGAATGGGCGAACTTGTCATCCAGGAACAATGGCCATATTCACGATTCATCACAGACTTGGCAAAGACCGCCGATCGGCTGGGTGAAGGCAAATACAAATGGGGATTTTGAGGTGGCACACAAGTTTGGAGTAGTGGGCCAGGGTGGCCATCCGAAATGACAGTGGAGTTTTTATGGCCGCGGTTGCACAGTATCATCCAAGGGTTAAGGATGCTACCAGGGCGGAATTTCTGGCTTGTAGCAGGGCGGCTAATCTTGCAGGAGAGTTAGTAGTATCTAAACTAATTATTGAGACCGATTCTTTGGAAGTAACTAGTTATCGTGCATGTGCAAGGCACGTTTTGGCATTATATACACAAAAGTAGAATAATAAATGCGAGCCTTTTTTATGCAACACTCCATATAAATTCTTCACGTAAAAATTGAGTTTCATAGACCATTGTGGGATGATAATTTGAATGATCTCTAAAAAACATGCATAGTCTATTCCTAAAGTGACAATATAACATGTAATGCACCATCCACCTTTATTAATAGAAATTCCAAAGCTCCATATGAGTGCCCCCGAGGAACAAAAGGATATCTACACAGATTTTATTCATTGGTAAAAAAAATAGAAACAACTCTGAAGTAGAGTCACTATGCTCACTGTTTATGTGAGATTGCTAGCATCTCCAGCTGGTAAAAAAATGCCAACAGCTAGCATCTCATTTCTCATTTGTAGAATTGCATCGTAGAGAGTAATATTATAGTCCATGGTTAGCAATCCTATGGCGGTAGACCTCAAACATATCAAAAATAACCGGGGAACTTTAATAACTCACATGAGGTAGTCGATGGTTTATCTATGAAGAGCACTTTTTGGAATATATCACAGATAATGTATATAATATCTATTGTAATACACATAATAACACCAATTATTAGTCCATTTGAGCCAGTAATTAAAAAAAGGCATACCTTACCAATTGTAGCCAACAGTTCACTTCCTGGTCTCTCAACGCCCCCTCCTCTTACTATTGAGCCACAGAGCTGTTGCCACCAGATCCTCGACAAGATCAAATAAAAGGATAATCCCCAATTCAAATTCAATAAATTATCCATGCAAGGATTAGATAAAAAATATACCATATACTGCTCTGTATTTGGTATCAGTTGGCATGAATTTTACAAATTATACAGTGGCTTGAGACATCTGTGCATTAATAGATAGCACACAAAGCAGAATACTGAAAGCATTAACCCTATACCTCTTGTATACCAGGGCACCACACCATAGAAAAGCTCACATTTTAGATCTAGCTAACCAACCTTCTATTATTTAAGATAAAAATGAACGTATATGTTCACATATATATTCTGGGTACAGCCGTACAGGGAGCATCAGTGTCATGCTAATCCTAATAAGGATATGGACTCATCCTAAGTAACTGATGAGTAGCTCAGGCCACCCTAAGTTCCCCAAGAAGCAAGGCTTCCATTCTTGTTAAAGCCACTGCTGCATTTCATAAATAACTTTGTGGCTAATTCAATTGCATAAGGCTGCACATATGAAGGGACTGCTGGCTAGATGTGCTAGAAGCATAATCTCAAGCTGTGAAGGATAATAACTGAATTTGATCAGTTAATTCAGTTGCATATGCCATAGATTCTTTCAGTGGGATTGAAGATAACTCCACTATCTAAAAAAAGAACTATGATATCTGTTGATAAGCAGATGAACTCCACTGTCTAAAAAAAGAACTATGATATCTGTTGATAAGCATATGAACTCCACAATGGTTTTCCTACAGCCACAAGGACTTCATATGTGTTCTCACATTGCAATCGAAATAACATTTATATGATCACAAGAGGAAAAAATACCTGGGAATGAAACTTCAGAGAGTTCTCGTTGACGAACAAAAGACCATGCAGATCGATTACTTTACTCTAGATCATTGAATAATCACGCACCTTATTTATGATAAACCAGTTCAAGTATGAACTAAATTAATTATTCAACTTCAGTAGACAGTGAGTTACCTTAAGAACATATGCTTGTCTTGAGGGCTATTATAGCAGAATAAGTACCATAAGTATGAACTAAATTAATTTTTCAACTTTAGTAGACAATGAGTTACCTCATAATATATGCTTGTCTTGAGGGCTATTATAGTTGAATAAGTACCATGAACCGCAAAAAATACTAAAACTTTGTTCAAAACCAACAACTGCAACCATTGCACCATGGAGCCCATTCTCCAACGAAAGGAGAGACAACAGTGAATAACTAACCTACAGTGGCCATAAAAGATCATCAAGTACAACCTTTGCCAAGATGTAGAAATGGTATACTAATTTATTTTATGGAAAAAGAAACCCAACATGTCTTCAGCATGTCTTCCTAGGCACTCTGACATTTTGTCTAAACTGTGCATGTTTCTCCATAGCTAGCTGTGGGAGGTCCATATCTTCTCTCAGAATTCATGAAAGTGCATATCTGAAGACATTTGTTTCTTTAATGCTCAAGCACATGTATTCATAGGAACAACTGACAACAATTGAGATATTAGCTTCATTAACAAAATTTTTTGATACAACAGTTGCCCAAATTGAGACACAAAGAAGTACGTGCAATACACAACATTAGCTCAGGAGGCCCTTGTCATGATTGGCTTCCTCTTAATTCCTGAAGCCCGTTTGTGGATGTCATGCTATATTCAAATTTCCAGCACCCATGGAACTTGCTGGATATTTCACTCAAGAATCCGCATGGCCACATCAAGCCCCAAATGCATTTTCAGATACAAAATATATATCAGTCCATAGGGACAGAACTATAGAGGAAAAAATAATTTGTAAATTTGCAAAGTAGAACCTGATGCCATGAAGATTCCATCAACCATGTAATTAACCTACTTATAGGAAATCCACCTCCAACATGGATACAGGAACATGTATCCAGCTGCATCGCCTTTAGTCCAGAGGCATTGCGAGGGATGGTATGATGTTGCCATTGCACCCTGCTATGAAATCGCCTTCTCCTGCCTACAACCTGAGACCACTGACTAGTGGAGCAAGAGAGGATGGATCTAAAAAACTAAATATTATATCCATTAGCAGACTAACGAACGAAAGCTTATCTTCGGCGAAAGGGGGAACCACCTCGGCGGCGGCGGTGGCTTGCGGCAGCGGTGGAGTGCGGCGGCGGCTGGGGATGACCTCGGCTCAAGCGGGGCAGTGGCGGCTGGTGACGACCTTGGCTCCGGCGGGGGGCAGCAGCGGCTGGGGATGGCCTCGACTCCGGCGGGGGCAGCGGTGTAGTGTGGTGGCGGCAGGGACACGCGAGGAGGCGCGGAGCGAGGATGAGCGAGTAGTGGGCGGCGGAATCATCGATCTCGTTGGGGCGGAGTAAACACGCGGTGGAGGGAGTGCAGGCAGAAATCGCGGTGGAGGGAGTGGAATCGGTGGGCGGTAGCCGGTAGGGACGGTTGTGATGCGTGCGACGTGGATGGACGGTAGGGATTGATACGTGTGATTTGGCATGTAGGATTGGAGGGGTACAACTCCTCCTTTTTATATTAGTAAAGATATAGATATAGATGAGGATGGTTGCTCAGAAGGAAGTCAACAGATCGAATTATAGGTCTTTGGTACACAAGATTTGAAGATGAAGTTGAGTCCTTTGTGATAGCGTTAGTGTCATTCGGGTTAGTAGATCAGTGAATAAAGCTGCTCATAAATTAGCTCAAGAAGGTGTGTCTTTGAGTAGTTCTTCACTTCTTCTACATGGCTTTCTGTTGCTTCAGGTTTTATTACTTCGATTTTGACTGATACTTGTAAGCATAACGGCGCCAAGTGTATTAACCGTGTTGAAAAATATAGGAGTTAACAACAAATATAAACAATAAACCAATAAGAGGATTCTCCTTCATAGATGTAGAATGTAATTAATTGGATCAACTCAAATTTTAGGTAACTAAAAATATATAATATTAATGGATGTCCATACATTCTACATTACATGTCGTGGAAGTCTGTGCCATTCATTCATTTCCCTGGGCTCTGGCAAGCGAGGCCACAACAAGCCATATTGGCGGTACCACCGAAGAAGATGGAGAGCGCCCCATCCTTGGATTCATAGGGCTCGACACCATAGCAGGGCTGGTTGCTCATGTTACCAAACGTCCTGGTTGGCCTCTGCCAAGATTTGTCAATCTGCATGACCTGAATCCCATGTATATATGCGCTTTTCCCCATACCTTCTATTGGGTGATATCCGCTCCCCATTCCCGTTGTTGTGTATTCCTGGCCCTCATGCATGTTGCACACTTGGCCACCCCAGAAAGCTTCCTCGCCCTTGTCAAAGGCAGGGAAAGCCTCTAAGGGCCAGTACCCCAGCATGGTGTCCCCGTACATGGCACACCATCTGTTAGAAAGCATATCCTGTACACAACCATGGTGATATAAGTGTTTAATTCAAAATCATTAGTAGCCTAATACAGAAATTCTCTACTAAGGGGGTAAGTTAGGCAGTAGCAAACAACTAAACGTATCTCATAATTTTGCCAAAATTTTGATAACAATAAAACCACCCCCATCAAGCACTACATTTGTCTATACACGTCGTTTAAATTTTACCAAACATACCTCCGAATACTGTTAACTGTTTTTTTACTGTCAAAATTAAGTATGTTGAGGTTAGGAAAAAAAGAACACTCTAGCGGTGGTGTTTAAGTTTACTTTGAATAAAAGAATGTGTAATTGAAGTCATTACCTTGTAAATAGTGAGATGGGTCTCATACTGCACGTCCCCATACTCTGACAAAGGGGCTAGGGCTGCCCCAAATGCATACTCATTCGAAATTTGCACGAAACCAGCGCAATTCAGGTTGAAGCAATCGACACCGTTTTGTGGATCCTGCGTGTGTGTATATTAGAATGTGCAACAGAAACTATATATATATGGTTAATTCTAAGTAATAAATTTACCAACGAATAAAACATTCTAACAGCATATATCAACTATTACCACAAATTTATCACTACTGGAGAACCCCACATCTCTCCCGGTTCGCAACCCCCTTTACTCCCGGATAGCGAACCGGGAGAAGGAATCCAGGACTAAAGATCGCAGTCTTTAAACCCGGTTCAGATACCCGGGAGAAAAGATTCATCTTTAGTACCGGTTGGTAACACCAACCGGCACTAAAGATGGCTAAGCCACGTCCCGGTTGATCCCCTTTTCTTTTTTTTTCATTGTTAATTTACTACTGACAGTTAATCCTGTATTTTCTCGCAAATCGGGTGAGAAGCATATCCCCAAATCAAACCCCAAATCAAGTAACATCCCAAATCATTCACCTCAAATACATCACAAATCCTTAAATAAATTACACACAAAATAAAAACATCGCAGATCCATGCAATGAATCACAAATTCTAGAAATTATACATCTAGTGAATCACAAATCACAAATCACGAAAAAAAAAGAGGACGCCGGCCGCCGCCTGCGTGCGCGGCCCGCCGCTGTTGGCCTCCTGCCCGCGCTCGCCCGCGCCGGCCTCCGCCTGGACCAGCGCTCGCCCGCACCGCCCGCGGCTCAGCCCGCCGCTCGGTTGTGCAGAGGGAGGAGGGGGAGTAGAGGGGAGGAGGAGGAAGGGAAGAAGGGGGAGGAGGGGAGGGGAGGGGGAAGAGATTGGATCTGAGGGGAGGAGAGATCGATGGAGGGGACTTAACTGATCTTATCTAGGACTTAACTGATCAGATATGGGATAGAAATATTTACTCCCGGTTGGTAACTCTAACCGGGACTAAAGATAAATTTATACTCTCGGTTGGTAGTACCAACCAGGACTAAAGATCTAAATGATCTTTACTCGACTAAAGTGGTAATCTTTACTCCCGGTTGGTAGTATCAACCGAGACTAAAGATCCTCAGTTCCCTGGCAGGCTTCTGACCGGGGATGAACCGGGACTAAAGATCCGGTTGGTAATACCAACCGGGACTAAAGATTATTTTTTTAACCGGGACTAAAAACAGTCTTTAGTCCCAGTTCTTATTAGAACCGGGACTATTGTGGAAATCGCTCGACCCTCCAAAGATCATTTCGCCAGTAGTGTATAATTACTTCCTCTGTCCCAAATAAGTGTAACTATATAGTTCAAATTTGTACTACACAGCTGTATTTATTTTGGGATCGAGAGAGTATTACTTAATTACATGACCCCAAACGTTGCATCATCACTTATTTATGAGGGTGTGGTTGTAGGATTAGCATATACTTAAAAGTGCTGATGACGTGGATTAACATAGAGCAAGCTTTATAGAAGTAAATGATCTAGTGGGTACCACCTATATAGGAAGAAGGGATTCCAATATTCCATAATATAATTAAATACCGTTGCTGCGTTGCTATATGAATGTGCTTACAAGAAATCATGATATTTACCACTGTTCGGATGAACAATCTTGTTTTACCGTGGGATTCCCCATACAGAGTAGGGGCTACCTGAAACAGTAAGACTTAGTTGTTAGTTTTTCTTTTTAATTAATTGAGCTAGTACAGTCTGTTATTAAAATTAATTGGTGATGCAACTAAATTAATTAATTAATTGTACAAAAGGTTAATAAAGTTGCGTACCATCCACCCAAACTGCAACGAGGCACCACGTCCATTGGTTATTACGATGCCATTCGTGCTCCACTCGTTGGGCTCTACTCGTATGCCCCACACGTTTACGTCCCCTCTAGCGCCATATACAGTTTGAGGTGCTTGGATTCCTGCATACTGAAGAATTGAAATTACAAAATTAACCTAGCTAGCTAGCTATAAGACAATCAATCGAGTCATACTTAGCTAGTACACATATACTACACTCAATAGTCAGATAATATATGAAAAGTTAACATCATTTGATGAGAAATGAAAAAATATTTAACCACCGACCCCTAAATGCGAGTCGGGTGGTAGCGGGCATTCTTGAAGACATAAGAGATAGAGAAATTAAATCGCTTTCAAACCCCCTTAGGTTTATCTGTCGGTTCCTTGTTTCCCTATAATAAGTGTAATCTGCATCTATCTCTTGTATTGTTCTTGTAAAAATCTCTTTCTCTATCTAATATAACCGGCAATTCTCTCGTCGTCTTCTATTAAAAAAAAAGTTAACATCATGGTATATTTTAGGATGGAGAAGTATTTTATATAGAAACCGATGCTACAGTCAATAGCACGTCCCTAGGATTAACATGTACTCCTAGTACAGCTGTGAAAATAAATATATATACCTCGATGTAGCAACCATTTGGTTGTGTGGCATCAACCTCAAGCTGAGATTGTTGTGTGGCCCTTCTAATTGCTATAGTTCCATCGGGACATCTCCCATTGTTTTGCCATGCTTGTCGAGCTGTTTTCGCTCTTTTGGAGAAAGGCAATTTGCCGGGTCGTGTCTAGCAAAGTTAACACAGAAATCAATTAATAAGAAAAAAGAAGTTGCAGCACATATATTGGCATGCCAATTGTATAAAACCAAGAAACAAAGTGAAGGAATATTCAAATAATCAAACATGCATACATGAAAATTAAGTTGGATATATTGCGTACCTTGATTGTCGATATTGTGTGGTTTTTAAGGCGAGGATTGTTGAAGGCCGGCTGTTGATAAATGTTGATGCAGTCGATAACATCACCGTCGTCAGCCTAACACAGTAGAAGCCTTAATTTGCTTTATCTTGTATACATACTTGTTTAGGAAAATTTGGATGCTAATTGCAAAACTAACAAGTAATAAATTATTTTTTTTTGAGAATAACAAGTAATAAATTATAAAGGAAATTAAACGGGCGTAACCTTTATTGACTTGATGGCCCGTTTGGTAGGTTCTGCCACGTCGATTAAAAACATCCATATGAAGAGGGCACCCGAAATCCATGAGATTGCCTTCTTCATCTCTCTCAACACCAAGTAAATGCTGTGTGTGGTATGCTCTCTCGTGCAGATGCTGAACACCGGATGCATGCAAAAAGCTCAGCACGTACGAAACGTCAGTGGATCTGTACTGTTATATAAGTAGAGTTCAACAAGGACTACACACACCAAGTGTGTGCCTAAACAACTGCCTATAACTATATACGAAACCATCTGTTCTGTAGGGCAGTTTCAAGAGTGTGTGTATATATGGCACTATACTACTATCAGATCGATAACAATGTTTTCCTAGTAGTAACCTAAGATAAAAAAGACTCAAATTTGATTATGTTGCATGTGTTAAGCCGTTGTTGATAGGCAACTGAAGTACAGTATCAATCAATCAATACCTATCTGAATATTTTTAGAAACTCCAACGTTAATATATATACTACCGTTTATTAACTACCCCTCCGTCCCAAAAAAAACCAATCCAAGCTATGTGTCCAGATTCGTAACTAGAATTTATCTTTTTTTTTTGACAGAGTAGTACACTATAAATATGCAAAATTTGCTACAGGACACTAAAAAATTATGTAATTAGCTGTGGGACACTCGAAAGACGTGAATTTAACACTCTAAAAGTGTGGTAATTTAAGAGAAGGGAAGCTCTTGTACAGTTGTACTAGTCGACTTTGCAGGTTGGGCTAATGACCCAAAATAGGGGTGGGTAAAAATGACCGATACAAAAAAAACCGAGCTAACCGATAAAAAAAAAACAAGATAAAATTTTCAACCAGAGGTTCGATTAGGCTTTTTTCACTAATCGAAATTAATTCGATCATCACCCTGCTCAGTTAATCGAAATATATTTAGGGGATAAACCTAAGTAGATATATTGATCTTGGTTGAATTGATGTTAATTAGTTCGAAGTTAGAACTAATATGATTATGCTATCATGATGTAGGTCGGTGATGCCAAAAATATCAAATAGTCAAAGTTATATTTGTCCGATGCCAAATTAAAAGAAGGAAAACAAAAGGTCGATCGAGGTCATCTATATTCTAAGTTCCTAACGATCTAAAGTTGTGATAATGCGATTTAGTAGCATTACTACAAAAAGCATTTTTTTCGTGTCAAAAAGGATTTTCGCGTGCGGTAGACGAACCGCACGCATCCAGATGTCTGCAAAATTCGCTATTTTTGCGTGCTGGTGCTTATGTCGCCCGCACGGAAAAAAGTTCGAAAAAAAACCTAGAATCCAGCGGCGGCGGCACGGCGTGCATGCAGGGCCAGCGGCGCCGCTCCCGGCTGCTGCCGCCTCCTGTCGGCGGCGGCGGGGACGGTGTTGATCCGGCTAGTGTGCGTGCGCGCGGGGCCAGCTGCGCCTCTCCCGGCCGCCTCCTCCTCCTCCTCGTCGGTGGGGGCAGGGCACGTGCACGCGGGGCCAGCTGCACCTCTCCAGGCCGCCTCCTCCTCGTCCTCCTCCTCGTCGTTATCGTCGGCCAAGGACGCCACTCCCGCCCTCAACGGCAGTGGCGGCGGCCTCCGCGCTCCCGCCGGCCTCCCGCTCGAGCCCGCCTCTGAAGCTTCGCGGGGGAGGGCGAGGGAGCCGTTGCCTTCGCCGTCGGTCGGTGCCGCCGACACCCGACTGTGAGAGGAGATGAGAGAAAACAGAGTGAGAGAGTGAGAGAAGAGGAGATGATAAGGATGAAGTTTTGAAATGTGGAGGGAAATGAGGAACAAAGATAGACTTATAGGCGGGCCTTCAAGAGGCTCACATGTAAAAATAGATTTTTCCATGCGGACCTCTTAAGTGGCCCGCTTGCGAAAATATAGTATTTTTCCATGCGGGCCTGTTAAGAGGTCCGCATCGAAAATTGATTTTTGCGTGCGGTCTTCTTAAGCCGTACATGAAAATGGAGGACGATTTTCACAGACGCGACCAGTTATGGTTTATCTGCAATCTAAAGAGTCCCATGTACAGGAACATCCTTTTTATAGGCAAAATTTTCCCTGGGACACTGTTGATGCGAAAAACACACACTGGCATGGAAGATCTGCTTAGCTTCAGTGCAGGTCCAAAAATCTTGCATTTAGGTTCGTGAGTGTGCCAGTTGATTTGATCCTGATATCAACAAGAAATAAAGACAGGAAAATAGCAGTTAAATCCAAAAACGATAGCCGATCGGCCAGCCGCCGATGACATATCATTTATCTTTGAGCTGATGTCATATCTGAATCGATTGGTAGCCATAAGCAAATAAGATAGAACTAAATCTATTCAATCGGTTGTAGGCATTAACAATATATAATCTTTCTTTCAACGTATGCTTACACTAGGTGATTGGGATAGATTGGTCGCCATGCCGAGACAGTATAAATCACTTAAGTCTAAGCATACACTAAAACAATGATTATATATGTTTATAACATAGCCGATCAGATAGATCTAGCGTATACCGGCTAATACTCCGATACCACTCTATATTAAGATATTAAAACAAGTAGAATATATCAAACAAGAAGCCTAATATACCTTACTGCAATAAGATCTTAATATAAATGGCAGATTTAACATATCAATCAAGCATATAGGATGTGAAGTAGTTAAATCAGGTAAGATCGACTGAAACCCCGATACTATCTCCTTCGATAAACATAAAGCAAGCTAGATATCATGATTATAGATCTATCGAACTCAACCGATGCAACATTAAGCATAAAGATAAGTATAAAATCTAGGCAAGATAATGAAAACCTATGAGAGATGGTAGATATACGATATAATCTAGATTAATAACAAAACATAACCATATCGGTCACTTCCTAATAATAAGAAACACCCGATAACAAGCTATATAGCGCAACTAACAGAGATTATAAAGCATATATGATAACTCGATGAATTACATAAATAGGATTAGAGTATCATAAAGATGGAAGCACTAATCCCGAGAACGCAAGCCACCATGACAAGTTTACCTCTAGTTGAAGATCGAATCAATGCAGCTCAACCCGAAAACAAGAACTCGTCGAAATAGAACGAAAGTAAAAAGGGTGGCGATGCGCCGAGGTTGATTAAACTATTGTTGTTTGATTACATGGGTTCGGGCCATATTTATACCCGAGGTACAAAATATGTCCTTGCCGGGCACGACTCTTATCTCTAACAAACTCTAAGGTACCATAAGTCTTTGCGGCAGACTTTTGCCCAAATATATTTCTAAGGAAATTATACAAAATATCCTAATTAATAGATACAATTGCCTATCTGAGAGCTTTATCTCCATCGTGGCAATCCTTGCGAAGCACGTTGATTGATTCTGGAAACAGCCTTGAAGCCATCGCCGTCAGAATTGGCTGTACTGACTCTATCGGTTGTATCGGCTGTCCTCTGTCCGATCCATCTCAGCCGATGCAGACTCCAGCCGATGCTTTCGCAACCGATGCATACTCTGTTCTTCGAGTCAAATCTTCTACCGAATCCGCTTCGATTCCAATGTCGAACCTGGTTCATATCTTATCAAATTTGGTCGTTAACAGACACCTAAAAATATGTAATTGGCTATGAGACACTGTAAAATCTTGTCGTTGCTGATGGACACCACAAAATTCATGTAATTTGTTGTAGGACACCCAAGACAATATTTTATCATTTCTGATCAAAAAGATGGGAGAGAAATTTTGAAAAGACAAAATTACCCTCAGCCCTATCTAATCCCCACTGCCGGCACTCGCATCTCAGCACCGCTCGCCATCTCCCGCTGTCGAAGCTGCTGCTCGCCGCTGCCTGGCCACAGCCGCCACTGCCGCCATCGAAGCCGCTACCGCCGGGCTCATCAATCGTCGTCGAAGCCACCACCGTTTCTTGCTGTTGCCTCCGTCGCCGTCGCTGCCATCGAAGCCGCCGCGGCCGGGCTCGTCGACCATCGTCGAAGTCACCGCCGTCGCTCGCCGCGCGCTTCGCCGGGCTCGTCGACCATCTGCCGCCGTGGAGGAGGAGGACACGCGAAGGCGAGGGACGCGTCAAAGGTGGAGAACGGGATGAGCCGGCGACATTGGCGGCGGCGTGGACGACGACAATGACGAGGACGCCGAGCACGAGAACCCGCGCAAGCGCCAACCAGCATTCAATCTCATGCGCCGGTTCACCCGGTTGTGCTGCCTTCGTGTTAGAAAGAAGCAGAGAGAGAGTCAACGAGAGGAAGAGGACAGAAAATAGAGAAGGGGAAGTGGAGAAGGGGCAAAAAAAGTCATTTTACGTGGTTTCTCTCTCATCAATTCAGTGGATATTACTCCCTCCGTTTCGAAATGTTTGACGCCGTTGACTTTTTAGCACATGTTTAACCGTTCGTCTTATTCAAAAAATTTAAGTAATTATTAATATTTTTCCTATTATTTGATTCATTGTTAAATATATTTTTATGTAGGCATATAATTTTACATATTTAACAAAAGTTTTTGAATAAGATGAACGGTCAAACATGTGCTAAAAAGTCAACGGTGTCAAACATTTCGAAACGGAGGGAGTATATTTTAATGAGCCTAGTGTCCTGTAGCAAATTACCACACTTTTAGAGTGTCTTCAGGCAAATTCACGTCTTTCGGATGTCCCACATCTAATTACATATTTTTTTAGTGTCATGTAGCAAATTTTGTCCTCTTTATATACATCTGTACAGTTTCGATGTACCACAAAGCCTTGCTTTCCCCTACTTGATTACCCATCCACTGTACACAAGCACACACTCTTACAAACACCAATGGAGCGCCGCTTCCTCCTCCTCGCCGGCCTCCTCCTGGCCACCGCCGCCGGCGAGCAGCAGCCTAGCCGCACCGCCATGGCAGACCACCAGCAGCCGGCGGCCACCGCGGCGCCGTGCGATCCCCTCTGCATATGTACGCGTCGTCACACTATCACACTACTAGCTAGCTACTGATCCAACTCATCACCGAAATGAGGATCAAAATGCATGTGTGCTCCCTCTTAATTAACTTATTACTACATTTTCATGGTTTAATTTGGTTTTGTGCGTGCGTGCATGCAGCCGGAGCGGCGGCCGGCGCGACTCCGGAGGCCATGGCGGCGGCGGCGATGGCCGGCGGCAATGAGTCTGAATCTGCACTGCCCCCTCGTCAGCTTGATCGTCCGGACAGCAGTGGCTTGCCTACTACTCACCAATCATGGATTTACCATGAACCCGTCGCCATGCCCTACTCCACGGCGCCGCCGGCGGCCATCTCGCTCGTCGGTGCCACCGCCGCCGCCACCGCCGTCTTCTCCACGATGTTACTCGCCGCGGCGGCGGCGCGCTAGATCAATTGCTAGGTTAACTTAGCTTAGCTAGCTCCTCCAATGATTCCAGGGGGACACAATTTGTTGCAGCCGTTTGTGCCTGCGCCTTTTCGACTTTCGTAGTTTTTGGTTTAGCTCGTGTGATCTTCTATGTACAGTGTGCTTGCTTAGTGATCCCTCTCAGTTAATTAATTATGCATGCATGCATGGTAGTATTTTTCAGTTCTTGTTTATGTGTGTCGTTGGTTTGGTTAAAATCAAATTCCAAATCACAGGAGTTTTGGCAAAGTTTTCAACAGAAATAAACAGGCTATGATTTTAATCCGAGCATAATTAATTTGCCGTTTACTCCACAGAGCATGAAACAAACAGTACATGCAAGTTGATCACCTATCTGTGTATACAGTCAGGAGCATCATACGGTTCAAGTATATTCTACTCCAGAGTCAGGAATAGGTTGCAAGCAGAAACAAATTAATCGAGAAACAAAATGCATGATGTTTAAACATATGCTTTGCCATGCATGCATGCAATGAATTAAGTTGTGAGCTACTTGATTTTCTGAACATGAGGTTCATTCTGACAGTGTGTACATATTCTCTGCATTACTAGCTAGCTGCAACTATACTGCATGCTTGCTCGTTGAGCCACGAGGAACAGCAGATCAGAGGACCAACCTGCATGGCTGCATGACTCCTCCAGTCCAAGGTGAGGTGATCCCTGTACGTACTGATCAGCCATGCAAACGGTGAATCCTCGACACATCGGAGAAGAGGGGGGGTTTACAACTTTCAGAAAACTAATACCCCTCTTTTGCATATATAAGTTGTTGTGATTTTTTTCCTGATTAAACTTTTTTAAGTTTGACCAAATTTATATAAAAAGCTAGCAACGTTTACATATCAATAAGTATCATTAAAACTAGCATTTACATAACCATAGCCTCAAAACAATTGGCATGTATTTTACATGAAGTCCTTGTCGTCATCATATCTTTGCAACATGGTCCATTATCGGCGGAGCTAATAACATGGTCCTATTTAAGATTTAATAGGAGCTTTATCAAGCACAATATCATTTCACTAGCACATATTCTTACATCCGTAACGAGCCATCTGTAACGGGTACCATTACATATTATGTCATCTGTAACGGGTGGCATATGCGGCCGTTACAAATGACCAAAACATTGTTGAGCTGTTACTGAAACCCCCTTATCTATAACGGCTCCTAACCAAGAGTCGTTACTGATGTAAGCCCCTTTATTAGTAACGGCTCTCAACTAGGAGCCATTATAGTCTTATAGATGAGTCATTCATCTATAACGACTCTATATTGAGAGCGGTTACAGATATTAGCCCCTCATCTATAATGGCTCAATTTCAAAAGCCATTATAGACATGTCCCTCATTTGTAATGGCTTCACATTGAGAGCCGTTATAGATAACTTCTGGATCACTTCACTCCAACTTAAATAAAAAATCTCACAGCTGGTCGGTGGAAAATCATTTAGGTGAAATATTTTCCCCAACTCTCCCTCACTTCTTTCCTTTCTCCTCCATCTCTCCCCATCATAGCTGACCGGCAGCCCTCTCCTCCCGGCTTCCCCCTCTTCCTATTGACTTGTGGCGGTCGTGGGCGGTGGCTCGGCGGGGTTGGCGCAGGTGGCGGCGGTTGACAGGGGCTCGGGCGCAGCCACGACCAGCAACAGACCCCCGATGGCGGCACGGTAGGCTAACCTTGGGACTGCCGGACCCGGTGGCGGCGGGCCACGGGACCGCCAGATCCAGCGACGATGGCCACGGGATAGCCAGATCCAGTGGCGGGCACGTGGCGGTCGGTGAGGGCTCAGTGACGATGGCGAGGGGATGGCTTTGTGAGGACAGAGCGTCAAGCTCCTGATGGTGGACCTTGACGGCGGCGAGCGCTTCTCCACGATGACCTTGATGGTGAACCCGCCCTCGCTGACCACCGCCAACATGAGCATCGCCTCCTCATCGCCCAGGACACACCACCCTTCCCCTTACTCCCCTGTGTCACCACGATGTTGATGTTGATATTGACGCCGTCGACCTGCCGCTGTGCAGCGGCCGTCGGTGGCAGGAGACTAGAGCAGGGATGGAGGAGGGGATTTTTTTTTTTGCTTTTTTTATTATGAATTTCCACATTTGTAATGGCTCATGAGTTGGTTTTTCCTTTTTTTAAGCTGAATTTTTATATCTGTAACGGCTCCCCATTTTGAGCCGTTACAGATGAATCTCCACATCTGTAACTGTTAGGTTGGAATGGTTGGTCTAACCGTTATAGATGTGAGTTTTGAGCTGTTACAGATGTAATATCATGTGCTAGTATTTCTTTTTGAGAAACACGTTATAAACACAGACAACCACGACGCGTGAATAGTTGACCCTATGAATACACATGCACCCCTTTGAGCACACAGTGTACGTACCCGTACTAGAACATGCTTTTAGAATCAACTCTCATAAGCTAATTCCCAATTAAGTGGGAGATAATATTAATATATGTGGTTGTAAACTTAAAGCCACCTAATCTGCTCTCCACAGAAACTAGCAAAATGACATTCGGTTGATAGATGGTGTATGAATGCATACATTTTTTTATCACCATTCCAATTCCTCCTAGCTAAATCTTGATCATATACTAATTAAAGTGTGGAATTTGGCACTACCAATTCTTATAAATAAGGACATAATTACACTAACTATATTAATTTACTTAAAGTACATTTCTATCAACATAACCAATAAATTAGGCTTGTGCATCAAACCTTCGGTTTACTAGATTACGCGCGGCATATTTTTTGTTTTAGAAAACTTTCGATTTTGAACCGTTAGATTTGCTTTATACTAGTTGGGAAGTAAAAATAATAATTACTAGATTACTTGCGACATATTTTTTAAAATAAATCATTGAATTTTGGGCCACTAGATCCGCTCCAAGATTCGTATAGGTGGGAAGTAAAAAAAAATTATTGTACTCCCTCCGTCCCACAATATAAGGGATTTTGAGATTTTGCTTATAACGTTTGACCACTCATTTTATTCAAATTTTTTTTTGCAAACATAAAAAACGAAAAGTTGTGCTTAAAGTACTGTAGATAATAAAGTAAGTCACAAATAAAATAAATAATAATTTCAAAAATTTTTGAATAAGACGAGTGATCAAACGATACAAGCAAAAACTCAAAATCTCTTATATTATGAGACGGAGGGAGTAGCGTGTTGGCCAGGATTTAAGCACAAGACCTCGTGTAAACCACTCTCCATCAGGCATTCAGGCACAATAAATTTTCTATTAATTATATACTCCCTTTATCCCAAAATATAAGTCGCGGTCAAAATTAACACGGTCTCTAAAACTAATCTTTAAAACTAATCTTTAGTTTATAATTTCATATACTATAAGGTTTGTAACAACAAAATTATATCTATATGAAATGAAAGTAATAAATTTAAATCTCAATCTAAGGATATAATTTTTAACAAATAAAGTTCATTTTATATTATACTACTCCCTCCATCTACTTTTGATAATCATTGTCGACGTTTGATGTCGTTGTTCTAGTATTTGCATAGTATGGGGATCGTCGGTGCTAGGGTATACGCGAGACTGAGGTAAAAGAGATAGAGACAAGGATTTTTATACAGGTTCAGGCCCCTGAATTGTCAAGTAATAACCCTACATCCTGTTGGCCGAAGCCGATATTCCTCTTATTCATGATAATCACACTAATACAATATTTGAGGTAGCCTCTCTAACTGTTGTCGATATAGCGGTCTGACGATCTGACTCGTAGTCGACAACAGGGTAGCCTTCCTCCTCGAATCCGTGCCCGGCGAGATCAGAGATAGCGCTTTCGTCTGTCCTGACAGTATCTGGAGACACCGTAGGGTACTAGCCGTGCTTATCCCTGAAGTCGACATCCGGCGGCGTGTCTTGGCGTATGTAGGCTTCTATGTTGTGGCTTCTATGTCGATTGTGTTGGGTGTTGATTCTCTTGGGTGTTGATTGTCCCCCCTCTCCTCCTAGGGGGTCTTGTATTTATACCCATAGGTGTCTCCTTGTCCAAATAGAACTAGGGAACTAATATGGATACAATCCTAGTAGTCTTTGTCGTTTCCATGTAGAACTCTGGTTGTCTTTCCTTATCCGGAACTCCTCCTATATCCACAGGTTGTTTCCGTATAGGACATGGTATGTGGTAGGTTCTACCGAGATTTAGTCAACTACTATTAGGTATGTGGTATCCATAACCCTGACAGTAGCCCCCGACATCGATGCAAATGAACGAATTCATATTCTCAACCGCAGACTTTGGAGGAACTGTTATCGAGCTCACGTGACCGTTCTCGGTGAGTTTAGAGATAACGTTAGACTTCCTTTATCAGCCTCGTGCGGGCACCGAAAGGGTTTTTCTAAGTCAATCTCTGATGTCGACCGACAAAGTACAGAGCGTACGACTAAGTCTCCCGTCTTGCTGTAATCGAGAATTTGGATTGAAGTCAAGAAATTTTATCTCGGCAGGTACACCATCTCTTCAGTCCGTATTCCTTGTCGAGATCCACCAACCGTTCTCGACTGATCGAGAAGGCGCAGAATCTGCGACGGAGCTTTGTCGACATTTGTCGTACTCGCCTTAGTCGATCTTGGTGTAGAACCATAGAGACATGGAGTCAGTGTTTTGTATATGAGCGTCTTCTCTCTTACCGACTCCGATCAGTCAGTTTGTAGAGTCATACACTCTCCCTAGCCCCCAGCCTTGTCGTCGGAGAATCATTCTCGGAAGATAAGGCTCTTCGACCTTTGACCAGCCTCGGTTGAACAAGTACTGATCCTAGCCCCCAGCCGTGAAGTTGGAAAACCCAATTTCCAATTACACGGCTTGGTTAATACGCACGGCGAGAACTCTTACACGACCAGATCTTATATGGTCTTTCGTCTCTGAAGGATCCGACAAAGCCTTATCCGCTCTGGGCGTCCCCAGCCGAAGTTCCCTTAGGTTCCTTAGAGGCTTTGTCAAGACGGCGTAAAGGGACATTAGGATAGGTTTCAACGCTAGGTGTCTTTTGTGGTAAGGGATCTCTGGGTAAAACACTTGGCAATCTTGTGCACCTAATATCAACTTTGTTGAAGCAGGGGTAATGGGAGAATCGCTACATCGCTGGTCGAGGACCAGGCAGAAGTCGTAACTCGACCACTTA